CAGCCCAAAGCAGTCTGGAATTCTGTGAGCACACAGTTTGTGGGGCTGAGGATGAGAACAGTGCACACCCTTCCTGCAGAAGAGTGGAAAGAAGAGCACAGATCCCGCTCAAACATCTCTTCTTGGCACTCTCAGCATTCCCAGCTCTGGGCACATCCTACAAAGGACATGTGGACATTTCTGGATGCGTGATGCAGGGATGCCTGTAGGCAGCTGGCTTCTATTGTCACAATGACCTGGGAAGAATATTTTATTTCTTTTCCTTAAATTAAATTCATGGGAGTATATATCTAAATACCATTACTGCTCTGACCTTAACAACAGATTTTTAAGATACATGAAATGTCTAGAAATGCTGAGACCCCCTCAAAAAGGGGAGAAAAGCACATAGGTTCCAAACTGCCACAAACTGCACTATAGCTCTGCCCACCAAAGCCTCCTGGGTGCCTCCAGGAGGGAAACTCAGATACTCAAAAACAAGTGGGCACCAAGTAGAAATATTTATTTTGCTGCTGAGTCAGGAAAAAGTTAGGAGCTTAAAAGACTCAAAAGAGTGGGCAAGGGAAACACATGGTGTAGAAGGGAAATGCTCCAAATAGCCTAAACCAAGGGTGTAAATACCTCTTCCTCAAGAAATGCCCACCTGCACAGAAGCAAATGCTTCAGCCCCCTGGTCCAACTATAAAGAGGGAATCTACCGACCGAGGAGGAGCAGCTACATGAGCAAGTGCTCACCTGGGGGAGTCACAGCCCTTAAATTATAACTCCGCAGCATTGGGGATGATTTCAGTGCAGAAATACATGCTTCAAGGAAGGTTCAGAGGTGTGATGTAAATCTCAGTATTATTTATATCAGCTATAAATGAGATAAATTATAACCTATCTGAGCAAAACACTTTTGTAAACCAAGGCATTGAATATTGTGTAGTTTGCATGTTTAACAGGACCAGGCTTTCATCACGGAGTGGAGGAGAGCTAATAACCCATTGATTTTAGGGCCCATTTAGGAAAAGAATTGCCTACACAGATTTGATCACCATGCATTACTTTGTAGCATCTAATACCCTGGGCACAAAATAATGCTGAGAGAGGCAAATTGTGGAGCCATTTTTATCCAGAGAGGGTTTGTACAGGAGGGCATGACACAGGGGCTGCTTTGGGCTGGGGCTCAAGGCAAAGCCAGGAGCTCTGAGGAGATGGTTGGTGTTCCTCCAGCTGTGCCGAGCTCTGCTTTGTGCATCCACCCATGAAGCTGCCCAGCCCTGCCTGGGAGATCATTCACATACACAATTAAGCAAAGCTTGGAAAACAACCTATCCAAAATTAAGTCCCACCGATGGTTCAATAATCCTTAATTCTCATTGCATTTTCCCATCCTAGTTCAATGAAGACAACTCTTTTTGGGCTTAAAACTTCCAAACAGAGGAGATCAGGTACATAGCATGGGTTTTTCAAGATAAATTCACAGAGATATTTCACTTGCTTTGGAAAGATCATCCAAATGCTAAGAATTATAAATTTCATAGCAGCATCAAGCATCAACAGATTAAAATGCAGCTTTATGGGATGTGCAGCCTCTTCAGCACTCTCAGATCATATCTCCATCACGACTTTCACTGCCTGTACTTAAATGACTCTTCCTGAAACAGCCATGCTGCAGTACAGCTGCAGGAGCTGCAGTTGCCCTGCCTGCACACCACTGATCTCCTCGGCTGAATGGAGTGCTTTAAGGAGTCTCCCACAGAGGAAAGGGAGCATTTAGTGATGAGTGGGAGGGTGAGAGATAAGCCATGCTCCCCCACAGCTGGCCAGGGCCTGTGCTGCCAGAAGGGTGTTTCAGAAATTGGGAAGTCAAACGGCTGCCCATACACAACAGCTGGACTTAAGTTTTCCACCCCAGAGCCCGAGTGCAGAATTTGGGCAGGACAATCAACAGGCTCAGGACAACAGACAGTCCACCCCCAAAATGTGTCCTCTCCTCCACCGGGGACCCACATCCACCACAATTACAGTTCCTGCAATGAAAAGGCTCAAGCTGGCAGGGTCTAAAGTCCGTGAGGCCCCTTCAGGCGTCTCACTCTGTTGACACAGCAGGGACCATCAGACAATCCTGTCACACCTGAACCGGGCCGGCAGGGAACACTGCTCTCATCCGCAGGGACAAATACCGTGCGTTTGTTCCAGCTGTGGTTCCCGAGGCTCCTGTGAACACTGGATTAACTGGGCAGAGGAATTGGAGGTAACCCCCACTTCAGCACCACGGAACCCCTGTCCCGCCCATGCACTGTCATACGAGGCACGGATGCACGAGGCAGTCCGTGTCCCTCGTCCTCAGCACAGCTCCAAATGCACCTCGGGACAGCTCCTCGGGAACAAAGACACCAGCCAGACAGCCGCAAGCCCAAGGCAGCTCGCGGGACATAAATCCCGCTATTTGATGACTACTCAGGTGGTTGAAATGGAAGTTTAGTCGTGGTTTATGAAATCCTTTGACAAATTGGGGTGCCCTGAGGCTCAATCCCCCTGCCTGTGGCACAGACCACGGGCAGCGGTGGCGAAGGGACCCCCTGGGCTGTCCCTGCCGAGCTCGGACCCACTTGGCACTGCCTTTCACTACCGGGCTGCGAGCACCCGTGGCTTTGCGCAGGATCCTCGCCCGTCAAAGCCGGTTCCGGCAGAACGCAGCAGCGTTTTGCTCTCTGCAAATCCTCTGCTCCTGGGCTTACAGCACTTTGGGGAAAACTGCAGGGATTATCGGGAACGCAGAGGCTTGTAGTTACGGAGTGTTCGAACAGTTAAAGAACAACGACGTGTTGAACAAAATGCACTTTACAGATGTTCGACGGTGCAGATAGAATGCAACATCAATACACTCGTGAATATGTGTGCCCGTGTATTCCATCCCCGTTCAGAGCTGGATTCTTCCCCGCTTTCAGTGGCACTGGCATTCCTCGGGACTGTTCTGTGCTCGGTAGCGAGGGTTCTCTCCCTCTCTGCCCCGCATTCGGTGCTGATGCGGAGGGGCAGAGAGGGCCGGCAGCCCCGGCATCACCGCACGGCGTAGGGCGGGGGAAAAACGAATGCAGCGAACACGGCCGGGCTGGGGCTGGGGCGCAGCAGTGGCGGGGAGCTGGCGGGGACAGAGGACCGGAGTGCGGCGGTCCCTCGCGTTCCGTCGCCTGCTACAGATTTTCTCGTTGCTTTTCCTTCCTTCCCTGCCAGAGACCTCCCCTCGCTCGGTGTTTCAGCTTCGGCTGCACATTCAGGCTGGTGAATGGCACCGGTCGGGCCCAGCACCATCACCCCGGCGTGACTGGATTTGGCCCTGCCGTAGGCCCTCCACAGCCTGCCCCCGACAAACCAAATCGACCAGAACCCGTGCCCTGGTACCGCTGAAGAAAGAACCAGTTAGGGAAATATTTTTTCCATCCTTCGCCCTGCGTGGCTGCCTGGCCCTGAACTGCCCTGTGCCGGGGCCGGGACCGGCGAGCCCGGGAACGGCCTTACACTCCTGCAACCTCCCGGTGACCGGGGCCGGGCTGCGGCCGAGGAAGCGGCAGAGACCCCTCCCGGGAGCGCGGCCACGGGAGCGCCGGCTCCTGCCCATGGCCGGGGGAAACCCGCCTGGCCGTGGCTGCTTTCTAAAAACGTCAATTTTGCAGCTTCCCCGTTGGTGGAGGCCGGGGCAGCCGGGCCCGAGAACTACGAGAGGTTGTTCTTAAAAATCGCCCTGCACAACGGTGTTGCGGGCAAGCAGCGGAGCCTCGGCCGCAGCCACCGCCATCCCGGTGCCGTGCGCGCAGAAAAGGCAGCAAAACGAAAACGGCCGGGCTCTGCCGGCGGGACCGCGTGGCTGGCGGGGAGAAATTACCGGGGACCGGCGGGGCCTGCACCGGCACCTGCTCCGGAGAGCGACGGCCCCGCACTCCTCCCGCCCGGCCACCCCCGCTCCCACGCGGCGCTGCCGACCGTGTCCCAAAGCCGGGACTGCTCCCGATCGCTTCCCTCGCAGCGGCGGAGACAGCACTGCGCACAACCGCGCAGGCCCCGCAGCCGCAGCCCCGCTCCGAGTCCCCCCGTCTCCCCGCCCCGCTCCCCGGTCCCCAGCCGCCCCCATCTCGGCTTCTCTCCTCCGTGACAGCCGAGGCTCCGCGGCGGCCGCCGGCCCGCAGTGCCCGGCTCGGCGGGCTCACCTCGGCTCGGCTCTCCCCGGCGCGGCGGCAGGCAGGGAGCGGAGAGACGTTTGTAAAGAAAACGTTTATTTACACGTCTCGGCAAGTACAAAGTATTATACATGGTCTGTGTCAACCCCAAATCTTCTTTATTATGAAACATAAGGCGCTTTCTCGAGAGCCGGTGGCGCAGGGAGCCAGTGCTGTTTCGGGGCGCTAAGCTCATCGGCTGGGAAGGTGAGGACAGAACGGCGTGTGGTGCCTGAAAGGAGCCCTTATTACAACGGTGAATAAATTACAGCTGACATTAACTTCACCTGGGAAAGATGGGAGCTACCGCTTTTCAGTTTAATAGGGTTTCCGAAGCTAATGAGTCATCACCGGCTCCACCGAGTCCCCTCCGCTAAGTGATAGGGAGGTATTTTTTCCTTTACACTATCCTCAGAACAGGAAAAAAAAATAGCCTTTTGTTCCAAAGCCAACACAAAGTACCTATGTTCAGTTTTCGATATAAATAATCGAGGTTTTATATAATTCCATATTAATAGTGCCCAAAATCTCGATGCATAAATAAATTAAAGTATTAACACTTCTTACAAAAAGTGACATATTTCCCTTCCTACATCGACACAAATATACAAGCGGCTCCGCTCCGCGCCGGCCTCGGGGAAGCGGTTCCAGGCCCAGTTCCGGTTGGACCCGGTGCCGGTGTCAGCCCTGCTGGCGCCGCTCTCCGCCTCGCCACCCGCCCCGTCGGGGGAGCCGGGGCAGGGGGAGCCGCCGGCCGCGCTCCGCTGGCCAGTCCGCTGCATGCCCCGGCTATCGGGCTCAGACGAGGGAGGTGACCGGGGGGATCTTGGCGCTCTCCTCCTCCCAGGGCTGTAGGTTCTGCAGCGCGAACAGCGACGAGTTGTGCAGGCACAGCGGGTCGGGCTGGATCGACTCGTTCAGCGACTTCTGGAAGGCGTCGTGCTGCAGCTGCAGCATCAGCCGGCTCGCCTGCTGCCGCTCGGCCTCCCGCTCCTCCGCCGTCTGCCGCCTGCCGGGGGACACGCTCAGCCCGCGCCCGGACACGGGGCACGCTCTGCCCGGGGCTCCGCGGGGAGCGGCCGGCCCGGGGCCGGGCCCGCGGTCGCGGGCACCAGGCAGGGCGGCCGGCGCGTCCTTCCGGGGCCAGGCACCGCCGGGCGGGCGGCCACCGCTTGACCGCCGGCGGCGGGGCTGCGAGAGGCGGGCAGAGCCTGGAAACCCGCCGTTTCCCAGTAATCCCGTCTCCAAGTATTCCCCCCCTTTTCTCCCAACATTCTCCCGATTTTTTTTTCACATTATTTCCCCGTTTCTTCAAACAATTCCCCGTTATTTCGAATAATCCCTCGTTTTTACGAATAACCCCCCGTTTTCCAAATGGCCGACTATTAAAAAATAAATATATAAAGATGATAACAATAATAACTGTGATAATATCAATAATAAGAATTCACCCCCAACGGTTTGGCTGGCAGGAGCTGGCAAGGGGGGCGATCCCGGCCAGAGCGGGACTCGCGGGGCGGCGGGCAGGGTACGCCACCAGGGGTGGCGGCAGGACGGGGCGGCTCCGGGGGCACGGGACTCACCGCCACTTGGTGCGCCGGTTCTGGAACCAGGTCTTCACCTGGGCGTCCGTCATCTTGAGGGACTTGGCGAGGGCAGCGCGCTCGGCCGAGGCCAGGTACTTCTGCCGATGGAAGCGCTTCTCCAGCTCGCAGATCTGCACTCGGGAGAAGGATGTCCGCGGCTTCTTGCGCTTCGGCGGAGTCCGGTTCTGGTAGGGATGCCCGATCCGCCGTGTCACCGTGAAGGGCGTCAGCGCCGCTGCCGCTACCCGGGGGAGAAGTACAGGGGTCAGCCCCGCGCCCGCACGGTGCCGGCCGCCCCCTCGGGGCCGCCTCTCTGCCCGCCGGCCCCCCGCGCCCCGCCGGCCCCCGGAGGGATCGCGGCTCCCCGGGGTCCCACTTCCACCTCTCGTCGAAGAGCTGCGGAGACGAACGGGGCACGGCAGCCCCCCGGGGCGCCCCGCACTATCCACGCCGCGAGGAGAGCGATTTTTCGGCTCGCTGCGAGAGCGGGGGAGGGAAGCATCCAGCAAGCGCCTTTGCTTTTATTCTTATTCGCATTACTGCTATTATTTCGTTTTATATTTTTTATTGGCCCTTCCGTTCGTTGTCGGGAGCTGGCTCGCCCGCTCCGCCCCGGCGCCTTACCTGTGAACCTGTCCTTGACGAAGCGCCTGCTGCTCTCCATCCAAGGGAAGTTGAGGCTGCCCAGACTGGGCACGGCGGGCATAGCCGGGATGGCGCTGGAGATGGGCGGCGGCACGGCCCCGGGGATGGGCCTGTGCGCCGGCACCCGGATCACGCCGGCCGGGGCCAGGCTGAGGTTCACACTGTACGATCCCGAGTCCTCGAAGGGCGCGGCGATGGCCGGGAAGGGGGCCGGCAGGGCCGGGTAGGGCGCGCCGCCGCGGCCGCCGGGGCCGCCCAGGAAGGTCGCGCCGTCGGGGCCCCGGGGGGGCGGCGGGGGAGCGCTGTCCTGCTCGGGGCTGTTGAGGATCTGGTCGATGCCGAAGCTGATGGGCTCGTGCTGGTGCTGGCCCTGCGCCGGCCCCGGTGGGTCCATCCTCGGCGGGTCCATCCTCGGCGGGTCCATCCTCCGCCACCGCCGCCCTCGCGCCGCTGTGGAGGCGCCGCCGCTCGCGCTGCGCTCGCGGCCCGGCCGGCCCCGCCGCCGACACCAAACTTTGCGGAGCGCGCGCGCGCCGCCCCGTCACCGCCCGGGGGCCGCCGCGCGCCCCGCGCCGCGTGCGCCCCCGCCGCCGCCATTGGCCGCCGCCGCCCGCCCTCCGCCCGCCCATTGGCTGCCGCCGCCCCGCGCCGGCCTCGCGCCCGGGCGCGGGGGCCGCCGCCGCCGCGGTGACATCACAGGGGCGCGCGAACAATGGCCCCGCGCGGGGCGGGGGCGGGGCCAGGGCCTCACGTCGGGGGCACCGCTCCCCTCACGGGCCCGGCCCGGCCCCGTCCCGGCCCATCCCGGCCCCTGCCCGGCCCCGTCCCGCACCGCCCGGCGCCGCCGGCTCCGCCCCGCCACGGTCCCCGACGGCCCGAGGCCACCCTGCTAGGCGGGACTCGGTCCCCGCAGCCCGCGGCTGCCCAAGCCCCCACCCCGACGGCAGCGCGGAGCGGCGGGCAGAGGCCGTGCCCGCGGCCGGGCTCGGGGGGCCGCCGGGGCCCTACAAGACGAGATTCCGTTTGGGCTTAATTTGCAGAGCCCGGCGAGGCTGTCGAGCGCGTTGGCAGCCGGTCCCTGACGGCCGAGCGGGACTCAAGGCGTTAACAATTAAATAACGCTCAATGCATTTACTTAGTTCCCTCTTATAAAGGGAAATGAAAACAGGGAATAGAATTTCCCTGTTAATAGAATGTAATGGCATTTGATCAGCACCTGGCAGGGCGAGCCCGGGATGCCGGAGCGGTGACAGGAAGGACTTGATTAGTTTTAAACCTTAGTATTCAATTACCGCAACGCTCCGAATCGTTTCGCCGGCAGCGGCAGCGAGCGGGACGGAGCCGCCGGGCACAGGCGCTGCGCTCGGAGCCCGCCCGGCAGCACCTGCGGGCCCCGCTCCGCGCGGCTCTGCTCCCGCGGCGGCCCCACGGCAAAAGCGGGGCTCGGTGTGCCTTTTTTGAGACCCCCATCTTCCGCACGGGTCGCGGGGTCGGAGTAGGCTCCAGCCCCGATGGGGTCCGACGGCCGCGGCGAAGCCGCCTCCCGGAGTTCCCCGGCGCGGGCGCGTCCCGGCCGGGGCCGTCGAGAGGGTTTCCCCGGCTCACGGCACCGAGGGACACCGGCCCTGCCTTGCCCGGCGGTCATTACCGCGGCCAGTAAACGCCCACCCCCGGGGGGACCGCCCGACGCCGGCCCCGGGCCCCGGGCGGCTCTAATCGGATTGTCCCCACTCGGTGCGGCAGGCAGCGGAGCCGCCACCAGCCGCCGCTCCCCGGAGCGGAGCTAATCCGATTGAGGCGATCCCGCAAGATGCTGCGGGGCCGCACGGACCCGCCGGAGCGGCCGCGGGCGCACCTCCCTCGGGGCCCCGCTCTGGACGGCGCGGCGGGGCGGGAGGGAGGCGACGGGGCGGGGACAGAAGGGAAAAGGAGGGGAAAAAAAAAAAAAAAAAAAAAGAAAAAAAGAAAGGAAAAAAAAAAAGGCAACCGGTGGAGGATAAATAAATAAATAAATAAATAAAGTGCCACCCAGTCCTGGATCAGGGCAGGCTTTGTTAGAGAAAATTGCAGCTCGATCTGCATAATGGGAGCTCGGGCTGCCCAAGGCGATCTTTTTATTGCGTGTGTGTCTGCTGTTATCAATTTTGTGAACGATTTCACAGGGAGCCTGGCAGACTTGAGCTGGAATAATATGCAAAGATGAGCTTTGAATAATGAATGATGTGCTTTTAAACCAATTCCAAAGTGTCTGTGATAGTACAATATGAAAAGGGGTGGTAAGTAATAGTATATTTAAAAGGCACTAGTATGTTTTTATTACTATATTTAAAAAGATATCTATATTATTTTTGCGAAATGGATAATATATCACAGAGTCTTTGATAATCAGCTAAACAATACATTTTTCTTTGGGAAAACTCTCCTGGTTTTACACAGTTAAATATAGAGTATCAGCGTACAGCTCTGTAACACTCAGCTACCTTATTAAATATTAACGCTATTTTAATATTAGCTTTTAAATTTAATATGTTGACGTTCTGCAGTTTTACTTTAATTATGTTTTATAATTAATAACCCCGGACGTATGGTATCCTTAAACGCAGCTCTCCCGCAGCCACGCCATCTCCCTCGCCCCTCTATGGGTGGGGGGCACGCACAGCCCCGCACAGAGCCCCGCACAGAGCCCAGCACAGAGCCCAGCACAGAGCCCAGCACAGCCCCGCACAGCCCCGCACAGAGCCCCGCACAGCCCCGCACAGAGCCCAGCACAGAGCCCAGCACAGCCCCGCACAGAGCCCAGCACAGCCCCGCACGGCTCCGCACGGGCCCGCACAGCCTGGCGGCTCCTTCTAACCGAAGGTCCTCTTG